TTAATATACGTTTTCAAAATACAATATAAATAAATCTATCAAACCTTCCTAAAGAATGTTTATTTTGTAAATCAACTTTAACAAGAATAGCATCTCTACAATTATAATGGCCCAATTGTGACTTTGTGTTGCGTTGCTTAGAACTATCTAAGACTTTTATTGTTTTTTTTTCTAGCTTTTGATGGCAATTGCACAATGTCGTACTTTTTGTTTATAAGTTTATTATAAACTAACATCTTCAAGATCTTTCAGGTTCTATAGATTCTCTTGCATTTCACTCTGCTCTTAAAGTTTCCATTTTTTTTTTTTAATTATACGTGTTAAGCATTCGATACATGTTTTTTTATTATTTTCAAATTCATTAATTTGTTTTATTTTTTGACAGAATGAACATTTTTTTTGGATTCAATTAAACAGAATAATCAGCTTTCACTAGTGAAATTTTTACAAAATATGGTAAAAAAAAAGAAATTTTTAAACAATCATTATAATGATACTATATTATAAACAAATATCGTAATAAATGATACTATTGTATTACTTTTCAGAAGATGGTTTTAAACAGCGATTACATAACTGATTTTGGTGGTCATACTAGGTTCGTGGCATCAAGATGCTGTCAGAGAATGAACTGAGTTTTTAATGAATTGTGCAACTTTTTGTTTTTAATGCTTAAATGATTCAATTCAAATAACAACTTACTAGTCATTGGTTATTTTAAAACCTAAATAACCTTAGAAGGTCATTTAACATATGTTAGTTAATATTCTAAAACCTTTTAACCAATCAAAATTGGTTTTATGCTTGGATGATTTTATTAAAATCATCCATTACCATTACGTATATACGATAATACAAAATATAAATTGATAATCATCTAAATTGGCTCATTGTTCTTCAGATACGAACTGGAGAAAGACAAAAATGTTGTTAGGTTGGTTGTCTAAACCTGATCTTTTTTTTATAATATTGAGTGTCGTGTCGCCACTCCATTTGGTGCTGTTTATTTCATCGCTACCAGAGTTGTTAGTCTAGCTCGCATAGTTTGTGAACGCGTTACTAACACTTTTTTTTTCTAAGTTTTAGGACGCTTTTGATCTTTTGGAAATTGTAAAGTATTTATCTTGAAAATCTGGAAAACCTAGAATGTATTACAGTAATTGTTCTTGTTTTTTTTTTATTTTATTAGCGAAATATTTTGATGCCAGCACAATCATATCCCGATTTGATCTATTTTTGTAGTACTAGACGAATTCACAGAAGAGATGATGACAATATTAATCCACCCTATGATACTGAAACACTTTAACAATATATTCTCCATGCAAGAACTTTCAAACCGAAGGTTTGTAATATATAATGTACAAATATTTATCATGATGCTATATTTTGACAGTTTTTTTTTTTTTCCTCAAGATTCTAAAAGATTGTTAGTTGAAAAATATAAACAACTACGTCAAGATGATGATTCTAGCGCAGCACAAAATTCTTACCATATTACAGTTAGACAATTAGAAAGCTTGGTATGATTGTCTGAAGTTATTGCAAAGGCTCATTGCAAGAACGAAATAGGCTGGAATTGTAGCAATAGATTTTTAGTTAAAAAAATGATTTATTTATTTTATATAAGTAATTCCGGATTTTGTGAATAAGGCAGCTAAACTTATACAACAATCTATAATTCCAAGAAGAGTAAAATTGCCACTTCTTTCGGCCTGCTATATCCTTGCTTCCATTTGTTCTTCTTTTTTCTCTCTTTCTTCATTGTCATGATGATGTTGTGTTGAGAGTAGGGTGATCTGTATGAGTAAAAAAAGTTGGCATGACATTGTTAAAATTTGCATCTGGCATGCCACTATGGTCATGCCATGGGCTTAGATTATTTGTTATACAAAAACCATATGTTAAAAAACTAGATGTAAACGCTTTTTAAATTCTATCTTTTGTGTATTGATTTATGATATTGTATTATTTGATAATCATTAAATAAGCATTGGTATCGATATATTGCTTAAATCATATAATTGTTATATTAAATCATATAACTGTTAAAATATTTATATTAATAACAGTTTATTAAAAATCATTTATTTAATTATATGACTATTAAAATAGTTAATCAGCTAGAACATTAAACCATTAGACAGTTAATTAAATAGTTATAGTAACCGTTAGAGCAGTTAACTGTTAGTTATTATACTAGTTAACCATATATTTATATTACGTATAACTGTTAATATTAAACCATTTTAAAGTATATAATTGCTTAGTACAGTACGTATAACCGTTAAGTGCTGCATATAGGGTGATTAAATTAAATATAACTTTGAAATATATAACTGTTAAATTTTACATTAAATGCAACTTTGGAAATACATATACAACCATTAAGTGCTATGCTACATGGGGCAGTTAACAGTTAACCGTTAAATATGTACAACTTTGAAATAAAATACTGCGCTATAAGATAGTTAACTGTTAAATATAACTGTTAAAACTGCGCCACATGGGCGGTTAACTATTAAATGCAACTTGAAATATAAAACTGTTAAATACAACTTGAAATAACCATTAAATATACAACCGTTAAATACTGTACCACACAGAGCAGTTAACTGTTAAATGCAACTTGAAATATACAACCATTAAATACTACGCCACATGGGGCCATTAACCGTTATAAAATATTGCAGCTTTTATAATGCGAATCAATGAATATTCGCAAATTCGAATTTATTCGAATTTATATGAATATATTCAAATTAATTCAAATTCGGCTTATAAAAATTCGAATTTAAAAATTAAATTTGATTCCAACCTTTATTGTAGATGCACTGGACACTTTATCGCTCAGTGTTATACTAAACAAAGAAATCAGGAATAACCACGAGATAGAAGTCAAGATCATTATAATAATAACCGTAGCTACAACCGATCTAGAAGCTGAGACAGAAACTATTCTAAATCCTACGATAGAAGTAGATCACGAGACAGAAATAGATCTAGAAGTCGAGACAACTATTCTCAAAATTGAGGTTACTCTTGAGAACGAGACAGTTATTATTCCTATGCTGATAACTATAGGAGATCCTCCAATCATTTGCCTTCTCCTTATCATCATGATGTCAACTACCTTGCTCAGAACCCTAAATCTTCTTCTCCTATGAGCCAACAGAAATAGGAAACCCTCCTGGACAACCCTTCTATCTGAAGTACTCTTTTTGCTTACCTTAGCCAAGAAGCTAAAACCTTGGCTATTCCTTCTAAACCAACTACTACACCTGTTAAATACAATATTAAAATCAGAAACAGATCTTATCAAGCTATTGTAGATAGCAAAGCATCCATTAGTATGATCGCTCACAAAGTAGTTCAAGAACTAGAACTCAAAATCAAACAAGCCTCAACCAGCCTTATCATATCTGCTACTAGAACTTCTTTTCGACCTTTAGAAATTATCTAAGACCTTTCTATACAGATTCAAGATGCTACTATCTCTATTACTGTTGAAGTAGTCGCTGCTACTTCCTACTCCTTACTTCTTGGAAACAACTGGTTCAAGAAAGTTGAAGCCAGTTACAATTAGAAAAATGGCTGCTACTCTTTTAAGTAGAAAAATCGCAAGTACCATACCCCTACCACTTACAAAAATAATCAACCTCTTTCTGTTTAACCTACTGTTACTGACCCAGATAAATTGGAGCTCTATGAACAGGAATACTTGACTCCCAAAGAGGCTTATGTATTCAAAACCACCAACATAAATACAGACAACCCAAATAACTGGACCACCTATTCACCTTATCGAGTTCGACAACGATTAACTCGAAACCCTCTTCAAGTATGTGGAAATTGCAATTCACCTGCTCATCTATTTGCCAAATACCCTACCAACCATTGTAATCATTGTCAAAGAATTGGATATATCGCCCTATGCAAGTCCTACAACATAACTTTTATCGAACTTGTGGACAAAACTACTTGTACAGAGACTGCCCTAACAATTTCTGTTATAAATGCAATGAAAAGAGACACATTGCTATAGATTGTCCTTATGCTACTCTATGCAAACAGAATTAGACCTACCAATATGGCTATGATACTAATAAAGTGGCTGCCCAAAGAGCCTACTATCATAGTACCAGACATACTCATTACTGCTACCAATGCAAGAACCCAAAAAGGACTGAACGACTCAGAATCCTCGATAACCAACTTGTATGCCGAGCCTGCTATATAAACTTTCACCATGACTTGGATCGAACTGATCCCAGAAGTATCTATTTTTATATCCAAGATGAAGAACAAAAAACCATAGTTAACTGTAAAATCTGCCAATATTCAGATACTAGATCCAGGATGCATAATATCAAAAGCATAACCGAAGCCCTTTGGTTTTGCAATCTTGAATACATGTATGCATACAAGGCTAGCTAAGATGTCTTTTACAACCCTAACTATAACCTCTGAACCTGAATTTAATACTATACCACCTCTACCCAAAACACAGGATCCCAATATGAAATGAATCAGACACGTATCTTCTGACTTGCAAAGATCTTGTTGCAAGAAAGTAACCAAGATATTGCCGAAACTTTAGAACCTCTTATAACTGACTGAATCAATCAACCATAGAATAATAAGGAAATAGATCTTGTTCTACATGCTAAACTAAATTTATTAACCAAGGATAAAGCCTTACAACTTCAACAGACTCTCGACCAATCTTTTGATACTAGCTACCCAGACTTTTGTAAAGAGTTAGCCCTTACTAATCTTCAACAAAGCTTTATCAACCCTGTGGATCTTTGCAAAGAATGCCTTCATATCAAGCACCAAGATGAGCTTGATCAACATAACAGATGTTGTATCGAATATGCTACTGCACCTCCTTCAATATTTAACTCAGAAGCAACCTTAGAAGAACCAGACCTATCATTTTCAAATTCAAAATCGGATACTATACCTGATGAAACTAATAACCCATTGCCAGCAACCCGACCTGCTACTTCCCTAGTAGAAGCAAATTTCAGTCCTCTGATTACTCCTCACAGAACCAGACATTTCTTTATCTGTGATACTACAGCTCTAACAACAAGTAGCCTATTAAAGCCAGCTTATCAAATAGCTGCAACAGAAGGTTGAAGCTCTTGAAGCTTTTAACCAACAACTTATACAGATATGGAGAGAAGACAACCAGTATGCTCACCAGCGTGCTGCTTAATATGTTGCTCTTACTAAGTCACAAA